GTGATGTACAAGGGAATGGTGACCCGTCACAACCCAAGAGTTACGTCAGCATCAGGACATGTATACTCCAGATGAGATAGCCTATCACCTGGGAACACAAAATTCCTTCGCAAAAGGACAGGAAGTTGTGGTTGACGCGGAAAGATACGATCTCAGCAATCCGGCAAAACTATCGGCAATTAATCAACTGCGAGATTGGAAAGGTGGACTAACGCCGCAGAACAGGAGATGACCCGAACCAAATTGGGGAACTCTTCTAAAGATGTGAACTTTCATTGGCTATTGTTTCGAAAGTCAGAAACCCACGATTTTTACTCAAAATACTTTCTAACGATGAAATTTTTTTGATATACTGAAAGCGATGCTGCCCCACTCCCATCAAGAAATACGGTAACACTCCACCCCACGATCTAATCGAACAGAGTGAAACGGTCAAGAGACAAAATAATGAAAGTAGAATACATATAAAACTAAGTCTAAACGAAATCGATTTTAGTAAAACATTATTCCGATTATCTGACTGGCTTACGACAACCGTCAATCACTTATTGTAAAAAAAGAAGATATTCAAAAGTTGAACACGGTGTAAAAATGCTTGTAAATAAGGAAGGGGGAAAAACTTGGAAAAAAAGATTGCATATTTCAGTAAATTAATGCTCCCTTCTGGAAACAGGTCAGGACGTGTCTCCGTGATTAGTACGGATTAAATCAGCAAAGTTGGAAACAGAGACACACACACACGTGTGTCAGAATGGGGATAGAAGTCCCGAAAGAAACTGACTGACCGCGTGAATGCATACGATTGCACAACTGGAGAAAGAAATCATAACTAGCCTGAGTGTACAACACAACCGGTTGACGATAACAGATAGAGGTAGAGAAAGAGGTTGGAGAAGGGCGCTACATGGAGGGAGAAAATCGACCACATTCGTGAGAAAGAGGAAAGAGTGTATAGCTGAAGGTTGGTGATTTTACTCGGAAAATGCAACCTAGTTTTATAATCATAACAGTTCAATTGACCAAATCAAACGGTAATGCAAGAACAAGAACAAATAACAGAGACGCGTGGCGGCATGAATATCACTCTGAAATCGGTTAGATCAGGTTCGATTTGCGGGTGCTTCCGGGGTCAACAAATCAATGTCCGGAGAGTTCATGTTTCGTTCACTTGTTGTTCCACATTTTTGGCATCACTGTTTTGATGAGCGATGGCAACAGTTGTTCCAGTGCTACAGCCACTTTCCGTGCTGCCGGTGGTGGTTGGGGTGTTTTCACGATTGGGCGATATTCGATTGGACTGTACGGATTCGAATTTGAAGACTACACCGTACAACTGACCGCCAAGACGACGAGCCAACCAGCTGTTTTTGATTACTGCCACTTTCAAGCTATCCACACGAAATCGTGCGTACAGATTGGTGTGTATCGCACGACCCATGCCTTCGATCACAACCAAATCCACCTGCAGACGAATGATGGAACGCGAGCAGAGTTAGACATGATGACGGAAAACATAAGAACGCAATGGAACTATGAACTACTTCATTTGATTTCAAGTTTGGTCCAGACTGCCAAAGCGTGCACAACATTAATCAAATTCAGTCTAGTGGTTTAATGGTATTGAGAACACAAAGAATTAGAGATCTTAAAAGTTTAAAATGATTCCTCATGTGCATATATATATATATATATATATATATATATATACTGGAGATGGGCTCATCTGGAACAATATTTCAGCTTTGTAGTCCGCGCAGTTGTGCAAAGGATACAGCACCCCTTCGAGTAAGGCTGAGTAGTACAACAGCCCACAACGTAAAAGATGATGATCCATGAACTCTTTTCACTCAGTGAAGTCGCATACAGATGCTTGTGTTTAACTCTTACGCTCGAGACCCCAGACATCGACATGTGTTACTTCCACGGAACTTGCATTCAAGACTCCAACTCTATTATCCGATCGAAGTACCATTAAATCCATCTGCGAAGTTTCTCTGAGGATATCGAGGCTGCGGTCTTGTTGGTGTTTGCGTAGTTCTCGGTGAGAGAGCTGGAACCACGCTGCTAGACTGGTTCCTAGTCGAAAATAGGTTGTGCGTAAAGAGAATTAAAGGTTCAAGTAAAGTCTCCTTCTTTACTGCAGCTGGCTCTTTGAGGAGGATAAACCGGCTCCGGATATGATCATGAAGCTACTTGGGAGTTTCGTACGAGGGAGTCTGTAGTAATCGGAATAGTATTGAATTTAGGAATACGAGAATCCGTACTGTACTGCTCAGAACTGAATTGGCTCCAACCCGAACTGTGGACACCAGTGAAGTACACGAGGAATTAATAGCAGCAAATGCTTATGTTTACTGATGGAATTAGATCATGTTTTATAGAATCTAATAGTCCATATGACTGGTTGAACGAGCATCCTCCAATCACGCAACCGTTTGCATCGACGCATCATATGTACTAACTCGGATGTCACGTTCGCCCAGTGTCGAGCTTCCTGAACGGTGATTGGATGACATGAAACTGTACCTAGTCGTGCATGGATTGCGGTCACGGAAGTCTGGATCACCACAGAGTCCCAAGCGGCACTCGGTATTTTTTTTATTTTGGAGGGTGCACCTCTAGCCTTTGCGAACTGCAAGGCAGCCCTCGAAAGTGAGGGGATTAATGAATTTAGTTTAAAAAGGCCAGTCACATCGATCTTTATCACGACACCTTCATTGGGCTAATACGGCTTTTAACCAGGAGCCAGACGACTAACCTGAAACCAACCACACTTTGGTAGTGTCGCCGCTGTTTGTTCGCGACTGCTTATTTGTTGTGATTTGCCACAACTTATTCACAGATAAACCTTCTTCGGTGAAGGTATCCCCCTATGCACAACCCGGGGATGCGTCTGGTAGAATTCAGCTCTGCTTAACCCAACAGTCACCAGTGAGTAGCGATCACCCGGATAAATGAACCTGTTTGTAGTGTCAAAGACACTTTACCAAAAATTACACTACCTGTTTTATTGAATGATTCCGTGATCTTACCAGTAGATATGAATGCCTGACTAGGTTAACTAAATTCTAGGGAGTCCTTTCGGATTATGGTCTTGCAGCTCGGAAAATGGCCGCGTTTTGTGAGCGAATAATTTAGGAGCATAGTTCATATATTTGATGAGGAAAAACTGGTTTCAAATAAAATTTAACGAGACGATCGTTTTTAGATGAGTTATAAACGGATGTTTGAAACTCAAAAACGAATGCGAGCTCACAGTAATAGGGTAATTCGCAGGGGCTAAGGCAGTCGACAAATAACAGTTATCACTCACTCCTTCTCGTTTGACTAGATGGGCTAAGGAACTGGCAGTCAGTCGGAGATCTAGGCATGGTGAAGTTTGACCATTTTCAGCCACCAAAAGTCGACCCGACGACAAGGCATGGGCCACTGTGGGCACATGGGACGAGGTGAGACGAAGCAGGACTTCCAATTCTTGAAACGTGACATCATTGATCGCCGGTGCTGTATTTAATTCGAATGGAGAAGAAAGAGAACGAGTATAGATGAGCACATTAGAATGGACGTGAACATTTCCACTGATATAGGACTCGATATCGCAGAAGAATACCATCTCGTGTTACCAATTCCCCAAAAGCACCACAGATCCAACCAGCCGCATTTTTGCCGTTATGCTTTGGCTTGATTGTATTTGTGACTGGTGGGGGTGTAGTTGATTATCAACTAGTGCGATCCACTGATTAATAAACTAAAATGACCATTTCAGTCAGCGCGCTAGTTTTGTAACACCAAGAGTAAAAGTAGTGATGAGTTTAGAGGAACAACGTTTACAAGGCATAGGCGCTGTGTGAAAAAATGCCAAGACAATCGGCGGCGAAGCGCGTAACGATCATATGGATCTTCGCGTTTCAGAAAACAGGATTTCTGTCAATCTAGGTGCAGCCGGGCAAAAAGCACCTATGTCATACATTCTGACCCGGCCTAGGATTTCTGATGTTATGCAATACCTCGGTTACCCACATGACAGCTTTCGCCACTATCTCCTGCCCCCGACGGTGATCGGACACATTCCTCCCAAAGCGATTCGGAGGTTGTCGTGAATGACCCCTGACGTTTTATACAATTCGTCTCTATCTCAGTGCCATACTATCATCTCATTCCTCTCATATAAAGACCGTACGACTGACTGATGGTCACGTGAAGGAGAACTTTTGTCATCTTGTCTGTCCACATGTTTTGATCATTCAGGTTTTAAACGGTACTAACTCTCTCATTTCTCCTCGCGTTACCGGTCCAGTGTCAGCTAAGCGGCCGAACAGCTTTCAGACGAAGCCTGATAATCTCCTTTGACCTCCTCGGAAACCTTTCCTGTAGGGTTCTCGCTCGGCTGCTCCAGCATGTCTTTGGAGTTCGGAACCAAGCTGTTGAACACTTCGCATCTCTGGCTATTCCATATTTTCCTGTTAGATAACGGTTGTTGAAGCCGCTATTATTCTGATCTACTGGACGGAGATGATGCTCTCAACCACAGCTACATCTGTAACCGCTCGCTACGTTCCTCAAAGAACCTTCTTCATCAGGGGCGCTCCGAAGCCATTCGGAGTCTGTGAACCATGGGGAAAATATAGTTCTCACTGTATGTCTTTTATTCGCAGATACACCTACTGCAAAAGGTTAGCCTACAGTGGGGTGGCACGGCTCTTAGCTCAGTAGAATCACAGGTGACACGTTCTAACCAGCGGTAGCCACATAAAGGCATCCGAAACGTGTACCAACAACAAACCATCGGTGAAGCCCCGAAGTTGCACTAATGATGTCATCTAGACTGGTTACGAGACGTCTGCGAACAACAATTACACCTCAGAGAACACAATAACATCAACATCCGCATTCCGAGATACAATCATTCCATATTATTTCCAACCCGTGCGAGTAACCATGGCATGATGCTTTTCAACACTGCGGCCTGACTTTTTTCAAAACGACCGCTAGCTAATTCAGAGCCGTTAGCAACCGAAGTGATTGGCCTGTTAGTGGGTGGTTATGAAGGTAATCACCAGGATTTCTTGCTACCTTCCGGTCTTGAAAGCAGTTTTCCTCTTTAGACTCTCATGTAGGACCGAATATAGCGATGATCCTCAGCGTGCAAAACGTTTGCTGTAGCGATAGTTTCATCGACGTACCGCATTCCTGAACCGTTCTCATATACTTTCACACTTGACGGGGCCTTCGAATTTCGGCCGCACTATCCGTTTTTCCATCATCCGATTATTCACTACATAACCATAACTGTGTCTGAGCTTTTTTGCATCATTCGCATGAACTTTTACCTTGGTTGCTAAGGCGACTGTTGTGCCACTACAGTGATGACAAATTTGACCAAATACACCCGGGATTTCATGCATTCCATCAAATGGACTAAATGTGCAACTACAACCTGTTTTGGGAGAACTGTAAGGAATAAAACCAAAAGGACGTTCAGGAAGCTTTCGAAAAACCCGAGGAAGCGTCGAGCCAGTTGGAAAGTTGCTCTTCGGAAATAAACCATCTCCCGCTTGTGAGTTCCCATCATTCTGAGTTCTAACGTCCGATGTTTTATCGGAAATATGGCCGATCTCACCAGCTAAATCAACTAGGTGTGACCATGCTACAAGGAATTTGGCTCCATAATGAAATTGAGGATGAAATAATACGCCTGGATGGATTCGCTAGCTATCGTGTCGATCGACCTATTCCTTATTCCCGACGGGGAGGTGGCGTCATCACGTTTGTCAAAAATGAGTGGTGTCATCTGACCAAAAACGTGGTTTACTGTTCCACACGTTATATAAACGCATCAGTAATTCAATGTAAGCCCAAACACTTCAGCTTTTCTCCGTCACTTATTCTTGTAAATGTGTTTATAGCCCTCTCTTGCTCATCTCATGTTCTCAATGATTTTTATGATCCTCTTTCAACTACATTGATTGAATATTTAGATACTTCAGTGTGTATCATTTGTGGCGACTTCAATAATTCCGATACTCGTTTCCTAACCACCTTAGGTCTTCAAAACATTATTACCTTTCCCACTAGGCTTGACGCACATCTGGATTTGGGTTTTATCAACCTTTCCAATTTACTTCTTGCGGAACGCCGTCCCCCACTGGGGATGTCTGATCATTCTATGTTGCAGTTTTCCCCTACCATTTTTAGTAGAACGAACCATCGTCTCTTTACTCGAAGTCGTGATCACAAGCTTCAAGTAAGACAGCATTCTCCAGAAAACCTCACGATGTTAAAGGAAATGATCAGACACTCCGAGCTTATTTTGTTTTCTGATCCCAACCCTTCCGTTTTCTGTGATCAATTAACAAGATACTTAAACTTTTTTTACGATGTTTGTTGTACCTGAGAGACAATTTATATTCGTCCCGATCGATTCTCTTCCCCACACCTCAAACAACTCCGTCGTAGAAAGGAGCGTGCCTTTAAAATGCATAAGCGCGGAGATGCACTCCCTTTCTAAATCCATCCGGGCTGAACTTCGAAGGCTAAACTCTTTTTACGCCCGTGCTCAGCTTGACAACAAAGGTGGTCGTGAAACTTAGCAAGCTCTGATGCGAATTTCCGGCATCAAATCCTCACATCGCTCACCTGCTGTGGTGGACATAGATGGTCTTAATCAGAGTTTCATCAATGGTGGAACCGCTCTCACTACTCTACCCAATGGATATGAAATGAACACCACTGATCCCGTCTCCAGCGTTGCACCTGTCGATAATTATCAAAAGTTGGCTCAATTAAATCTTCACAAGTCCTGCGGCCCCGATGGAGTCTCACTCGTTGCCCTGAAAGAACGTGCTGCCATCCTTTCCTCTGTACTGAGTGAACTTTTCAATGATTGTATTTTGCAGCAACGTATACCCGACTGCTGGAAAATAGCCTCTATCACCCCTGTACCGAAGGAAGGATCCTCAAAATTCCGTCCCATTGCCTGCACCTCAGTTGTCTTGTTGGTGTTTGAGAGGCTCCTCTTTAAGACTCTGCCCATGCAATTCAATATTGTTGACCCGAACCAGTTTGTATACACCCATTCCCGTGGTACACTAGATGCCCTTGCTTATCTGTCCCACTGTTTTATCCAACCTGGATAAGAAAAGCAAGGCTGTACGCATATGTTTTCTTGATTACAGTGATGCTTTGAACACAATTGATCGACAAACTTTGTTAAATACCCTCTCTTCGGGCGGAGTTCAACCTTCTACGATTGAACTCTTGGCCAACTATTTCTCCAACCGTTACCAGCTCACACGCTACAAAGGTCGTATACATTTTCACTGCTGCCCTCCTCAACAGGCATAATGCACGGATCCATTTTATCACCTTTTCTATTTTCTGCTTTCTCACTCATCCACCCGTTCCATTCACAAACATATAAAGACACGGACTGAAGCTTACAGGCGGTCAATTGTCCCTTATCTCGCCAGATTTCGTTGCAGGAAATCTGCGCAAAACGCTAAACTAAATCAATCATATACACCCTGGTATACCATTGGTTTTTGATGTTGCTGTTCTTTTCCATGTCCTGTGATTGCTGTATATTGCTGTTTTTTCCCACTTTTTCTTGACACACTGTGGTTATGTGGTTGCGGAATATCCACCTCTCGAGGTGTATAAAGCCATTCCTTGACTTGATTATGCAAACGCTTGCGTTCAATGCTTATCAACTTCCACTGGTGCAAACTAAATGAGCGCGCTACTCTGATCAGCTTAATATCCTGTAGCATGAATGTTGCCAGGATCCCCCGTCGCTCGATTCACAGGGGACAATATCTGTTCACTAAAGTCTGTAATTTCTGAATTTTGAGATAGCTCGAGAAA